TTTTTCAAGTAAGCTTTATTGGTGCTTTATGTTTTTTACCCCATAATCATTTCCTGATTTATCTCCTTCCCATTGGACCCTCCCTTGTAACAAAGAAGACAGTTAAGTAAAACCAACCGACAAAATGACCATGTCTAACTATGTATGCAACGTCCTGCTTCTGTAGTCTGATGCCTCTCTAATGAGATAAGGGAAAGAAGTCTCAGCGTCTGCTCTCCAGGACCAAGATTATTCACCAGTTAATTCGAGTTTTGCTGTCTGTTAGTATTATTTTTAATTTATGATTGTAGTCATTGTGTGTATATATGTATACATACACACATATACATGTATAAAGACTATATATAAAAGAAAGCTTATATGTGTGTATATTCTTTTGTGTATGTATATATGTGAGTACATATGTATATAAATATAAATGTGTATGTGTGTGTATGTGTGTGTGTGTGTGTGTGTGTGTATGTGTGTATACTCTAAGGAGATCAAAGACAGAAAAGAAAGGATATATAGATACACACACACACACACAAATGCACATATATATATCACCTTTCTTTTCTCTTTTGTCTCCTTAGGGCACACATAAAGGTTTTGAGTATAGGAGTGACACTGTTAGACCTTTGCAGCTAGGTGGCACAATAGATAGAGTGCTTAGGCCTGGAGTCTAGAAAGACCTGAGTCCAACTCTAGCTTCAGACACCAGCTATGTGACCTTGGGCACCTTAGTCTTCCTCATTTTCCTCAACTGTAAAATAGGGATACTATTAACACCTATCTCCCAGGGTTGTTGTGAGGATCAAATAAAATAATATTTATAGAGCTTTTAACACAGTGCCTGGCACATAATAGACACTTAATAAATGCTTGTTCCCTTCTCCTTCTCTTCTTCTCTTTTGCATTGATAAAATTTACAGCAGTATGAAGGATGGATTAGAGAGGAGAGAGACTGGAGGTAGGGAAACCAGTTAGGAAGCTATTAATAGTAGCCCAGGCAAGAGGTGATGAGGGCCTGAACTAAGATGGTAGTGGTATTAATTGAAAGAAAGGGATATATGGGAGAGGAATTATGATGGTTTGGACATGGTAGCTATTTGGACGGATAGGAGAATAGAATGAAAAGTCAAGAATATCATTGAGTTTTTCAGTCTGCGTATGGGGAAATGTGGTTCCATCCACATGGTAGGCATATAATAGAAGATGTATTATATCAGAATAACTAGGGGTACTAGAAGGAGGACCAGCTTTTGGAGGGGGAAAATAACCTCTCTGGATGAGTTCTCTTTTGGACATGTTGAATTTGGGGTATAGACAGGACATTGAGGTACAGCTTGTCTAATTAGTGGTGTAAGAGTAATACTCAAAGTCCAAGCTGGAAGTAAAGATCTGGGAGTTATCTGCATAGAGATGATGGAAGCCAAGGTAGTGAATACGAACATCAAGGAAGAGAGTATAAAGAAAGAAAAAAATGACCTTTTGGGAGCTGTGCACTCAGGAGGTGGGAGAATGAAGAGAAACCAGTAAAAGAACCTGAAAAGGGTGGTCAGAGAGTATAGGAGAATCAGGATCTAGCCACGCCAAAGAAGCCTATGGAGGAGAAAGCATCAAGGACAGAGAAGGGGTCAAGGAAAATGAAGACCGTAGAGGGCTCATTGGATTTGGTAATTAGGAAGTCATTTGTTGGTGACCTTTGAGAGAGCAGATTCAGTAAAGTGGCAGAGACAAAACCAGGGAGCAAGGTGTTAAGGGGCAGGTAGATGGTGATAAAGTGGAGGTTGTAAAGACAGACTTCTCTTTCTTGAAATGTAGGAGTGGAGGAGAGCTGAAAGAGACAACTTGGGTGGGGAGATTGCAGAGACAAATGAAGTGTTTGTTTGGAATATGGCAGAATGGAGTATTTTTGTAGGCATAGAGGAAGGAGTCAGTAGAGAGGAAGATGTAGGTGAGAGGGAGAGGCCCGTGCAAGATACAAGAGATGCAAGAGTGAGATCAAGAATGAGTAGAGGGGTTAGGTTTGTTAATGAAATCTACTTCCTCTGGCACTGAGGGGAAGTAGAGAATATTGGAAGACCCAAAGGGTATTGGAGTTTTGATAATTCTTAATGTTAACAGGGATGCCCAAGTTTTATTGATCACCAGTGACAGTGACTATTGCTTCCAATCACTTCCCTTCCTCATGGTGCTGAATCATTGGCCCACGCCCTTTGGGAGAGGGAAGACTGCTTTTTTTTTTTTGATCTATCAGAGAAATATGGGTTTACACAGCAATATCAACATCCTCTTATACTCCCTTTCGGAAGATGACATCTTATCACAATAAAAATAAAGAAATACACTAAAAAAATTAAGTTGCACTCTGAGTGATGAAGGAATGTATACAGCAAGACATTTGATAGGGCCAAATACCACATACCAGATACAGGGTACTGTCAATGAGATCCTTTCCTGCAAGCCTCTTCCACCACAGGCAGGAAGTATTAGGGTTTTATCTTCGAGTAAATGAAGGTTAAACTGGTGCTGTCCTGGTTTACTGACCACAGTTGTGAAGTAGGTAGAAAGCCCCCAGTTGAAAATCATCTTGGGCTTCCTCTGTCCCTCAAAGCCGGTTCAGAGTTGGGGGGTAAAGAGGTAGCTGAGAGACAGAGTTAAGGCAGTTTGCCCAAGGATCTAAGAGAAATTGAGAAATTCCAGTGCAGGCAGATTCTCCCCTCTCTCCTGACCCTAAAATTCTCAGATTACTGACTGGGGAGGGAAAGGTCAAAGTTCAGCAAAGCATGCAACCGTGCTGTGAATGTGCTTGTGATTGTACACATCGAGTTTTCATCCACCCATAAAATAAAGTTAGGATAAGGTGGATAAAACTGAATGTCTAGTGACTGTGGGCCTCTCTCCCATCATGGTGACAAATAGCAGCAAGGTCCTTAGCCCAGAGACTTGTGGTTTCCTCCCTCCTCTAGGCTGCCTGCTTTCGTATGTCTCCATTTGTAAGTCACAGTAAAGTCTAAAAGATTCTATTTTAAGGCTGAATGTGGGTTCAAGTTGTGCTACCAACATGGTAAATATGGCAGGATATTCCTTAAAGGTATGAACTAGGTTTTGTACAATTTTATATCCCACATGTTAATTAGCACAGCATCTTGTACATACTATGTACTCAGTAAATATTTGTTGAACAAATGAACAAAAAAATAATGAAAGGGTTGAATTATACTGCAATAAGGAAAGGAGTTTACCAGAGCAATAGTGTGGCATAGTGGAGAGCACATAGGCCTTGGAGTCAGAAGACTTGGGCTCAAATTCTAGCTCGACTACAAGTCAGTCAACCTCCTTGTCCCTCAATTTCCCCATCTGTAAAATAGAAATGAGGAGCAGATCTATGGTTTCATGGTATAAAGAACTCCCAGGTAAGGGAACTCCCTGTCCTAATGCAGGTTGACACTTTCTCTGCAACTTATAGTATTAGAGAGGTGCCTAAAACACAAAGAAATTAAGTGACTTGCCTAGGGTCACACAGCCAGAGATGGGGTTTGAATTCAGGACTTCTGGACTTTAAAGCAGCTTTCTAGCAATTATGCTAGCGTCTTCCGTGTTTTTCTTCTATAAAAGCAGAAGTAACATATTTGTCCTACCTATCAGACAAGCTGATTGTGAGGAGAAGTGCTTTGTTAAACTACGAAGTGTTATAGGAATATGGGCTGCTAGCTGTGTGACCTTGGAGAGGTCATTCTCTCTGGGTCTTAGTTCCCTTTTCCACAAAATTGGGGGGGGGGGTTAGACTAGAAGGTCTTTGAGGTTTGAGATGTCTCCCAACCCTGACATTCTGAGTTCCTGGATTAGAATTATTTGTTCTTGGGAAGAGGAAGATGGGCAAGATACTTAGCAATTCCCAAGCTATTTGTTTCAAATTGAGTGGCAATTATGTTGGAGACTTCCACACTCCCATTCCACATTCATAACAACCTGCCCTCTCAGACTTCACACAGTTGGGTCTGTGTTATGTTCCTTAGCTGTCTTGGGCAAGTCTCTAAACTCTGCTGTTTCTTGGTTTCCCTATAATTTTCCCTCTAATCTGTAATTCCCTCATCTCTACAATTTATAATCTGGATGCCCTTGCCATGTGTATTATAACCCTCTCTGTTGGTATTTTATCTTCTGCTAGACTCTGAACTTGAAAGCAGAGACCAAGTCTTATCTAAACTTTGTGTCATTCCCATTGCCCGCCAGAGTGCTGGTTAAACAGTAAGTGTTTAAGAAATGCTTAATGATTTGTATTGTAATTGTCTTTGCTGTTGTACTGGGGAGAGAAAGAAGTTATGTTGTCTCGCAAACACAGAAAAGGCATTAGAACTAGGCTATTAGACACATAGAAAAATGGTCCCTGGCCACAAGGAGCATTCAAAGGTAGTCTTCCAAAACCCTGCAAAGCTGACATTTTCAGAAAGGCTCCTTTGTCCTTCTGGGTCTGGCAAAGAATATTGTTAACTTCCCAAAGGCAGAGGTTCTTAACCTGGGGTCCACAGACACCCCCCCAGGAAGTCTGTGCGTAGATTTCAGGGGATCCTTAAACTTGAATGGGGAAAAAGTACCTCTTTATTTTAATATATGGTTTCCTTTGCAATTCCATGCATTTTGCTTCATGCATTTAAAATATTACTCCAAGTCCAAAGGCTTCACCAAACTGCCAAATGGATCCCTGAGACAGAAAAGGTTAAGGACCCTTGCCATGGAGCCTTGCCTGCCAAGAGTCTGAGCTGGGCCCAGTTCTAGAATAGCAGCTCAACCAGTGCTGAAGATAGAGGAATAACATTACAGGATGAGGAGTTAGGAGCTATTCAGGGTTTGAGAGTATTTCAGATCAGCAGCACTCTGGTTTTTACTTTCAACATTTCTATCTCAGTATCTCCACTTGTCCAATATGCATATTAACATTGATGCTTTCTTTTTCTCTTCCCCTTTTTTTTTCAGGGCAGATAAAGAGGAAAGTCAACAGCTTTGGGATTGTGTTTCTTTCATTAGGACTGAAAACTTTACTTGATTCCTCCTTGGAACCCTGTTTGAGTTTGTGCAGGGTTTTGGCTCTAAGAATAAAGAATGGTTTCAGCATCACCATCTGCCCTCTCAACTTATCGGGCTGGTGGCTGATCCAGGAAGCTGGGCTGGGGGCAGACTCAGCTCAATTATTTGTCTTTCAGGCTGTTGGCTTTTGAACTCTTACAGGAAGGTAGTCACAGCCCCAACACAGGAAGAGATGAAGAGTTCAAGATGAGAATGGTATACAGGGGATGCGGCAGGGACTAGAACAGAAGATCCACTGGCATCTTTCTCCCTCAGCTCAAACCCTTGCATGATTGTGATGAGGGAAGATCTTTTGGGACTTTTGGTACTGGAGACTTTTGGGTTTCTGGTAAGACACTGAAGATGCTTGGCAGTTACCACTGAAGCTGGGATAGCGTCTTTCCAGAGTCAGAGCATCCCTGTACATCCATCTGCCTTCTAGGTCAGATGTAAAGATGTGAAGGAACTTAAAGTATCAGACTGAACTATGACATTTCTCCTTTCTTTGCTCTTAAGTCTGGGCTCCAGGAGGGGCTTAAGAATGGAGACCTTCCTGTCTCTTTCAGCTTGAGTGAGGTATCTTCATAAGAAAGCTCTGAGATCTCAAAGGTAAGTTGATGACCAATTTACCCTACCAAGTTATCATTTCTAGGGTTGGAAAATGGGAGAAGGAAGAAATCTGGGAACTTGCTGATAGGAAGGAAGGGAGAGGAGTGACTCAGGGTCTTAGCCCTGTGCCCAAAATGGTCAAAGTTGCTGAGGCTGCCAGCAGAGGACAAGGATGGCATTATAACAGCAGTTCTGGAAGATGACAGAATCAGAGTGTTAGAGCTCTAAAGACCTGAGCATACAGAACATCTGAACTGGAACAGAGCTTAGAATGGAACAGAGAATGTTAGAGTGCAAAGGAACCTTAGAGAGCACCTAATAATAACCATAACTAACATTTATAGTGTGCTTTAAGACACAGTGTGGCATGCTGTGTAGGGAACTAATGAAATTCATGACATAAATTTCTTGGTGATTATCTATAGTAAGATAAGAGTACAAGTAGCAGTTTTATCTAAGTAGATGGAAAGCCAGCCTCAGAGTCAGAGAGACCTGAGTTCAAGTCCTTCCTCTCACACATACTGGCTGTGTCACCCAGGGCAAGTCTAGATAGCTCTCTGGCTATCATTTCCAGAGAAGACGCTGACTCTTGCATTAATAGAGAATTTCCTCCTTGGGAGTTCTCTACACCAATGAAAGTCATATAGACAATCAAATCTACTTATCTATATTGAGATACACACATGCATACATGCATGCATACATACATATGTGGCTGTATATGTGTGTATATACACACATATACATATAAATTTGACTGGATATATGTAACTATACATACATACATACATACATATATACATACATGTACATGCCTTGATATAGATATATATATGATATAGATATAAACACACATATATACATACACATATGTAAATATCTATGCGTATATGTATCACTTTATTTTGCAAAGTGCTTTACCTATCAATACTATCTCCTTTGAACCTCACAACAACCCTATGAGGTGAATACTACAGGTATTATCTAACTCAAGCTCTTCATTTTGAAAAAGAGAAAATTGATAGTGAGAGAAGTAATGTGACTTCAAGGGCATGCAGCAAGTCAGTGGCCAAGCTGGAGCTAGAGCCCAGGTCCCCACACTTCCAGTCTCCTGCTGTGATGCTCATGGGATAAACAGCCATCCTTCCAGGAGAACCAAACTCCCTCCAGATGTTCTTGGCATGAGAGGAGGCTGAGAATGAGACTACCACGTTCCATCCATACAGAGCCTTACAAATTAAAAAAAAAATGCTGTCATATACATTATCTTATTTCATCCTTATAGCAACTATGTGAGGAAGAGAGGGCAGATATTTTTGTTTTATATAAAGAGCATAAATTTTTTAAAAATCTGTTTTATTTATAGATGAGGAAATAGGTATTCACAGTATCTTTTAGAGAGCAGAATGAGCTGCCTTGTACGTTTCTCCCATGACTACTTAAGGCTGAAGACCTGGTCAGTGAGGAGTTGGGCCTGCAAATCAATGAATATTGTTTGAATACAGATTGTTTAGGCTGGTACTAGGCTATTAGACATGTAGAAAAGTGGTCCCTGACCACAAGGAGCATATAATCTGGGCAGATAATAATGCATACAGATCAGTACTGTTATTTGAAAAGTGCTTTAAGGGAGAGGAGTAGGGTAAGGATTATGCTTCAGTTTAGAAAATGGAAAGGAATTAATTAGAAAAGGCTTCCTGGAGGAGGTGGTAGTGAACTGTGATGTAAAGAAACAAGAGGATGGAGCTTGCCATGTGAACTCTAGCCTTAACTACAGGGACTTCCTGACAATGAGGTGACATGCATGATCTGGTCTGTAGCCCCTGGGGCTCTGATCAGGTCAGGTGCATTTGGGTGGATGTATACTAGGTTGTACCACACAGCTCCCCACAGTTTCTCTTCACTGGTCCTGTGTGAGCTGAGAACAAAAAGACCTAACTACAGAGGGGATGTGGCTGATTTGTGCCTGGTAGCCGCTTAAATGCATAGGACCATGGATTTTGATCTCAAATGAGCCCTAGAGGTCTTCTGGTCCAGCACCTTCATTTTAGAGATAAGTCAACTGAGGCCCAGAGAAGTTGTGACCTTACCAAGGTCAAACAGGTGGTAAATGGTGAAATCAGGATTTGAACCCAGATCTTTCGACTCCAGATCTACGACTCCACTATGTCATACTACTCACACTGCTGAGTACACCTGCCTCCATTCCAGCTTCCACCATATAGGAAGGTTCTGAGACCCTAAAGCATATCCACTTCTCTGAACCTGTCCTTGTGACCAGAGGAACCCAAAGGAGCCTGTACTGGAGGAGATTTATGCTAAGTGTAGACCAACAAGGTTCTCATTTCCTCCCTGATTCATGTGTACTCTAGTTCCCCATAGGTCAGTCCTTTGGGACTCTCCAGCAGCCAGGAGCCATTTATTCAGACCTTTGCCTTGTGTAAGGTGAACCAGTGCTCCTGAATGGGTCAGGGTTTCCAGTTTCCTTAGGACCAGGATGGGTCAACTTTTCCAGAGCAGGACAGGCAAAGGCACTTTCCGATGCCCTCAGGTCCCTGTTTTTAGTCCTGGAAAAGACCTTACAAAATCATTTCATCTAACCTCATTTTATGGAAGAGGAAACATAGGCCCTGAGAGGTAAAGTCATTTGCCCAAGGTAACACAACTACTTGTTGGTAGAATCAACACTAGTACTCAGATCTCCCAACATCCAATCTAGGGTCCTTTCCATTACACTATGCTCCTCACTCACTTCTCCTAAAAGGACACAAATGTAACCTCCTCCTACAGGCCACTAGGCGAATGGTCTCTGCCCTCTGGGGATAGTTTATGCTACATCTCGAACTAACATTTTCATTTCTAAGGTCTTTGGGCCAGATACTCACCTAAAATTCGGGGTTGGTTAGACATGAGATTAGATTAGGAAGGGATTCAGTTGCTTCAGTGTTCAGAGGGAAACTGTCATCCCTGGAGAACTAAATGATACTTAGGAATTAGAGTCCCAGTTAGGAGATTTAGCTTTCTGTTGGAGAACTGACCATTATTGACAGCCTCACACTTGTTGCCTACCCTATTAGACTGTGAGCTCCTTGAGAGAAAGTACTGTCTTTTGTCTTTCTTTGTATCACCAGCGCTTAGCACAGTATCTATCTTCATAAATATCTATTTAGGGGCAGCTAGGTGCCGCAGTGGATAGAGAACAGGCCCTGGAGTCAGGAGGACCTGAGTTCAAATGTGACCTCAGACCAAACACTTGACACTTACTAGCTGTGTGACCCTGGGCAAGTCACTTAACCCCAACTGCCTAAGCAAAAAAAAAACCAACCCCCCCCATAAATATCTATTTAATGACTTTTACCCTCTCTGTAAAAGGGGAATCAAAGCATTGGAGTGGGAGTGAAATCTTTCAGCAAGTCAATTGCCTTCTGAACTTGGATCCCACAAAATGACAGGCTATTCTAGCTGAAAGGGATCTTCAAGACCGTCTAGTCCAATATTCTGACAGAAAAGGAAACTGAGGCTCAGAGACATTAAATGACTCGCCCAAGGTCATATGGCTCATGAGTATTGGAAGCAGGACTAAAATTCAAGTCTTCTGATTTCATGTTCAGTTTTCTTCCCACTATACTTTACTGCTTAAAAGCTATTTCTGGTTCTCAGCTATCATGACAGCACTAAGGATTAAGAGCAGTATACTTGGAGCCATCTGGAAATGGAATAGACTACTTTGATAGGTAGTGAGTTCCCCATCAATAGAGGAGCTTGAACAGAGGCTACATGATCACTTGTTGAGAATGATTTAGGGAGATTCCTGCATTGAGTGAGACTAGTTGGACTAGATGATCTTTGAGTTCCCCAGCTCTCAAATCCTGTGATTTTTCCAGTTTGGGTCTTTGGCAAAGTCCAGGAGAAGAGGGGTTAGACAGAGAATGTCGCTGTTTTGGATTGGTATTTGAGAGTGGGGCTTAAAAGTACAGATGTAATTTTTGGAGCCTGAACTAAGAAGGGGAAGATTGCGCAATTACTGTTTCAAAAGCACAAGCCACACTGGTAGATGAGTCAGCTTGTCTGTACCTGGTCTGGAATGCAGTTTTCTAGGGCGAGGCCAGTTAAAATGCATAGCATCCATCCAGAATGATGAAGATGTCATGGAGCTACAAAGGGGTCCACAACTGGAGGGTTTAGGGTGAAGGTTCCTAGGCTTAGGTCTCCACAGAGACCTGGCCTTTCTTCATGAGTGATAAGTGGAAGAGTGGATGCTCGGGTTCAGATCATGGCTCTGCCATTTACTAGCCATATATCCTGGGGCAAATCAGTTTCATTACCTACAAAATGGGAATAATAATATCCTTTAGTACCTATATCACAGAATTGTCATAATGCTCAAATGAGATCATGTATAGAAAGTGTTTTTGCAACCGTGACATCACTATGAAAATGTCTGTTATTATTTTTGTGGTGGTAGTAGTAGTAGTAGTAGTAGCAGCAGCAAAGTGGGGGATATAGTACTTACCCTAAGTGCTTTATAGCAGTGTTGTGAAAAAAGCACTTTGTCAAGAATCATAGGGGCAGCTAGGTGGCGCAGCGGATAGAGCACCAGTCCTGGAGTCAGGAGGACCTGAATTCAAATCCGGTCTCAGACCAGACATTTGACATTTACTAGCTGTGTGACCCTGGGCAAGTCACTTAACCCCATTGCCAGCAAAAACAAAAACAAAACAAAAAAAAAGGAATCATAGACACGTATGCCATTATTATAATGACGTGAGTGCTCCCACTGGAACACTGGGGAAATTCCTTCCACCAGAGAAAAATCTCTCAAGGCCTCTGGCTCTAGAAGGAAATTCTAGGTCGCAGGTGAGGAATATAAGTTTGAGGCGAGGGCAGCTTCCCTGGTAGGGACTCAGGCCTGGTGCCGAGGACTCCGGAGACAATAGCCAGAGTGAACCTCAGTTTGGTCAGTGCTCCCCCTTGGCTAATCTTTTCTGTGGAACTCTGGT